AGGGACGTTCGAAGCGAGCGGCTCTTTATCTTTCTACGATATTTTATTTTAGACGTAAAGCTATTTATTTGTACTTTATTGTGCGCACCTTGCAAAGAGAGGAAGAGAAAAAAAAAGAGAGAGAGAGAGGCGCTATGCTTCCATGGCGATATTTGGCACTACAAGATTTTCCGGTTAAATTTTCTTAGCAAGCAAAGTTATTTTAAATTCTGGTAAAACTTTTTTAAATTTGTTTATTTATTTTATATGACAGCCAATTATATTTAAAAATTATGTTGTAATATCCCAAAATATCCTACATTGGCATTAATATATTTAAACTTTAGTTCCGTTTAATTATTCTGTCCTCCTGTATTTTATATGTATTTATATATATCGTATTTATCTTTTTTTTTGCATTCAATATATCTCATTTATTTTTATCATGCATATTTATATGGTTTACGTGAAATTATACCATCGATCGTACCATCCAATTACGCAAATTGTAGAGAAAAGTTATGTTTGCTGCAATTCCATGCCTCTTTAACGACGTACGTGAAACCAATGCGATCGCCTTACAATATTTTCCTAGATGCAATCCAATTTTCTCGATATTAATTANCCGTAGGGTGTCCATTAAGACGCCACAGAAAATTCTCAATGATCTCAGCGGAGAGAGAGACTTATTACTGGAAAAGCTATGGTACAAGGATAGCCATGGGAAAGTGGCCTAATCCGGAGGTGGAAAACTCGAGTGTGAAATCGTATGTATGTATATATGGACACATACCTGCACACGTGCTATGAAGCACCCAGCGCAAACACGCTAGTATAGCATCTAACCGCAACAGAATGAAGTAGATATGTGTGTATGGAATTGTGCAGTCAGAATTTCATCGGGTGATATCAGAGGATTATCTAAATGGCAGAAATTATTCCGTTTTCACGGAAGACCACGCTAAGGATAATTTCACGATATGAGATTTCGTATTGCGACAAATGAACTCGGACTAGACATTATCAAGCAAATTAAATTCAGATTACGACTTATGTCAACGTAATGATATCTCAACTCTCGATGATATAACAACAAAATTGCAAAAGTTCAGTCATCGAATGACACCATTTAATTTACACTAGAGAGAAAATCTAGAAAATTTAGAGCACTCTGGAAAATTTTATATTACTGAAAAATGTTGAAATATATTGCTTATCGAGACTAAATAAATAAAATTCAATATTACTTTTTTTATTAAATATTGATGTATATTTTATTTTGTATAAAAAAGCAAATATATGCTATTTATATATCTCTCAGTCGTCGCACGCAATACGCTATTACACGAAAGCATAATTTTATTCTACGTCTTTTTTATGAAAAAAAAAACATCTCACGAACACTTCTATGTAAAAACAGACAAGATTTTAGAAGAAACTTTATCATGATTTTCTGCTCCGAGAGTGCCGATGCTCGCTGCATGTTCTTTCTCTTTTTTCTCTCGGTTTTCTATTATATAATATATAAAGACATGATTTATTTCTTTTAGAAGCTGAGAATCTTTATAGAATGTTAGTATTTTCAACAATTAATTAAACATAAATTGTAATGAGTTATATTTGTTCTATGACTAATGACTTCCGGATGAGTTTGGCATTTATAATTTTTGAAAAAAAAAACATCTCACGAACACTTCTATGTAAAAACAGACAAGATTTTAGAAGAAACTTTATCATGATTTTCTGCTCCGAGAGTGCCGATGCTCGCTGCATGTTCTTTCTCTTTTTTCTCTCGGTTCTTGCTGCTTTAGAATGCGCGTCTTTGTCAAAGGAAATCCACGGGAGAAATCTGTCGAGTTGTCATTCGAATGCAATGCGCGTAAGCGAGAACATCCGGTTGCTAAGATATGCGACAATTTTTGTGGTGTACGTAAGCGACGTTATATTTTCGACATGGTCCTGACGTAGCAACTTTTTTCTTCAAAGACGAGTTTTGAGCGACAAAGTGAAGTTAATATATGTGTTCGGCACGTGCGTCCTTGACGAGTAGTCGTATGACGCGTGGGCTTTTCTGCGGAGCCAGCCAAATTTTCATTCATAGAAAGGCTTCGATATATGACGATTACGCGCTCTCGAATGGCACAGTGAAAAAGAGAAGCTATCAAGCGAATATCTCAATTCTGTTTTGACGATCTCAAAATCATTTAACGAGCTTAAAAAAATAAATTTTCGAAAAAATATACAAATGCTATTTTAAGTAGCTTTGTGAAAATTAATAATAACGCTTTTTTGATGAAATACAATTATTTACAATTTTTATATTTTTTATTTTTTATTATTTTTCTATTATATAA